AAGTGGCCCGAGCGAGCCCCAGGCTCCAATAATACTACTATTCTTACAATTGCTACTAATATTGCTAAAATTGCTGTTACTAATATTATTATTATTTCAACTGCTTTTGAAAAATAAAAGACAAATTACTGGATAAAGTAGTTATCGTCTTCTTAAATCCCAAATGGGAGACAACAGGTTAAAGGAATGACAGATGACATTAAAGTGGCTCGGTGTAATTAATGTGAATGTATTTTTATATTTAGACCATGAGGAATGTTTGACTATGAACAGGGACACATACATTTTTAATATCTAGTCCTCTCATAGTTTCGTGTCCTGACAGCTGATCTGGCAAAATGTCCTCAGCCTGAGACAAACTTAAGGAGGAGAGATCAGCACATACTGTTTGTCCTGCACCACCTCCTCCTCCTCTTCCTCATGCCTGTCATCATACTCACTGTGGTCCCTTCTCCAGCAGCGAGCCATCGCTCCACTGCCAGCCGCCGTCAGCGCCGCTGCTCCTCAGGCCGACCCAGTATGAGTCCCCCTGACTCAGACTCTGGGCCTTCTCCCACAGAAACTCCTGAAAAACACGTCAAACGTTACCATTTTGCAGAGAGAAGCCTTAATTTCATTCCTTAAGAACATTCTCTTTACTGTTGATCAATCAAGAACACAAACTGTCTCACATGTACAGTAAAAGAGCGAAACACAAAACCTCATTTGACCTCAAGCACTGGCCGCTCCTGCAGACATCTCCATATTTCATAGAGGCCTTAAATCTATTCTTAACTTCTCTTCCTGGTGGTATGAATCTGTACGTCAAATAGTGTGTCCAAAATGTAGGACATATCAGGAAGAGCATGTCAAATATTTACAACTGGACAGAGGCTGAATATGTCATTAATGCAGGGAAGAAGATTTGTGAGAGGAGAAGGGTTCCAGCACGGCTAATTTAATATTTATTATGCTTGATGAATAAATATAAACTGGAAATGACAGGACAGAGCAGGTGGACAGAGTAGTGTGTGTGTGTGTGCATTCACCTGCTCCTCTTCTGTCCTTATTATAGCCATGACGCCCCCCAGTGTCATGCAGTGGTACTGACTACTGATCCAGTCAGCTCTGTCCTGGCTGAAGAGGAAACATTTCTGTCCCTGAGGCGTCCAGCCAGGTAAGCACTCTCTTTCTGAGTGAACAACAATAATAATGATAATAATAATAATAATAAAGAATAGGTAAAAGATGTGGCTCAGATTACTCACCCCTCAAAGTTTGTTTTAATCTACTTTAAGCTTCAAATTACCTTAAATGTCAAGCCAGGGTCAAGTTTCAGCAGTGAATTGAAATTTTCTAGCATCCTGTACATCTCAGTATTACTGTTCTCAGTATGAAATAATCCTACAACAGCACTGAAATCATGACATATTTTTCAACAAACTGCATTTGAATGTGTAAATGATTAAACAACAACACAGTTCTCCACAAGCAAGACTTAAATTTGGATTGTGTGTTAGCTACAACCATTTAAAATGGACTACAGCCCGACAGTCTGAAGGTGTTAATGTCAGCTTTTATTCTGAAAAGCCTGAAATAGTTTTATGATAGTGTGTTTTTATGTTGTGTCATAAGTAAGTGGTATAAATATGTTCTCTACTTTATTTATTTCACTGATTGCAGACTGAAAACAAACAGACTAATGTTACACATCCAGTTTAACTGGTTTAAATCAGTTGATCTAACATACTGGAAACTCGTCATATGTAATATGACACAAAAGCTCAAAGTGGATCTGTTATCTGAATCTGAATCACGCTCGAGTTGTTTGTCTTTTTCACAGCACAATGGAAATCAGAGCTTCTTTGTCAAATGGGTTTTTTGTAAACAGTTGTCTATATTTAATCTGCCGCTTGTTTGGCAGCTTTTCAGCGTGACTGGGACATTGTGTGGTTGAAAGAAAATGACCAAACTGAAACTGACTGAAAGAGTTTGTGGTGTAAAAGACATTTACGGTTTCTCTCTCACAAACTCGTCTGTGGTTAAATACTCGACCTTTATATAAGGGATTCATTAGCTTCTTTACCTTTCTGTTACAGCCTTATTATTAGAGCCAAGCCTCAGGTAAACCTTCACCCAAAGACCACCTTTACACTAAAATAGGGATGCACCGATACTGATACTGGTATCGGTGCATCCAGTATCGGTATCAGTGCATCCAGTATCGGTATATTGGTATATACCGATACCGGTATCGGTATCGGGGCCGATACTGTAAAATGTGTGTGTACTCATACTCGTAAAAGTTAACCGATAC